GGGAGGGAGGGAGAGAGGGAGAGAGGGAGAGAGGGAGAGAGGGAGAGAGGGAGAGAGATCTGACTGACGCATGCCGTACTGCGCCTGTGACACTGCTGATTTGGGGCTAGAGATGTAGCTCAGTGGTACAGCACTTGTTATCATGTGCAAGCCCATGGTTTCATCCTAAGTACTGAGAAACAAGATATTGCTGGTCAGCTCACAGTCTCCAGGGACACTGGTAGTCTTCCCCAACATAACCACTTTTCCAACGTCTACTTCTCAGCCCCTCTGGGAAGAGTGGCAGGAAAGGCCAGATGAGGTTTGGGTGACTCTTCCAAAAGCCTTCCACTATATCCCAGAGCTGGACTATCTGCCAGTGTGAAGGAACACCTTGTCTTCAAAGATGCTTTTCCTGGTAAAACCCTGTACCGATTCTGCTTTCTCTTCTGTAAATCCCTGATTGTAAAGATGGAAGCAATCAAGTCATCAGTCTGAAGAAAGTCATGGGCAGGAGCAGCTTAACATGGTATTTGCCTTTTAACAGGTCATGAAATGTTTTAGAAAGGAATGCCTGTCTAAGGGTGGCCAGAGGCGTGAACCCTCATGACTGTTTCAGGGAGCAACTGATCTTTCTTCACACAGACAAACACACCTGCTCAGGAGATGCTTCCTGTGAGTTTTGTTTCCAGTTTAATTTGCAGCCTTAACACACATGGAAGACACCGTGCCGTGGGAACAGCCAGACCAACCTACCAGCACTTCCTCCTAGGGGATCCTGGCTGTCTACCCATTCTCTGTGGCTTTTTGCTACTCAGATCCCAATTTTGCATCCTGCCTTTTGATAGTCTACAGGTCTGACCTGACATTCAAGGATGTCCACTTGCCATGAACTCTAACTCCACACCTAGAAGGGATGCATCTAACTTGCTACCGTGGGCCAAGCTGAGATTGCCTGATTCAGAGACCGGAAGATGTTCAGGTTCTACTGCCGCATGTGACCACCTTCAGCCCCTATAGATGGTGCTCCCATGGCCTGCTGGGGACTCCTTACTGCCTACAAAGCTGGAGTAAGCCTACGGTGTAAGGCACAGATTCCTGCACAACAGAAGGAAGCAACACACAGCAGAGTCCTGCAGCCATTCCCAGTAACAAGGAAACAAGACTCACTAAAATAAACACATCTGGACACCGCTGAGGAAACACCGCTGAGGTGGTCTTCACTTCGCAGAACTGCTGCTTTTTGGTTGTTCAGTCACCGAACGTGAGGGGGATAGGGAGGACAAATACGGTTTAGAGTTAGCACTGGTAAATCAGAGGCCGGGAAGTTGAGCTCCTGCTTAACCAAATGGGTCTGGGAAGGAGCTTGTCTGCTCCACCCTCTGCAGCTCTCGTAGCCCCTCGGGCAGTGGGAAGATGGTGATCTAAAGTATCAGTGCTTTCCTGAAGTGCAAAAACAGGCAAGTTGTCTGAGCTGACAATTGTTCACAACCCCGGTCTCCGGTCTCTGACCCACTCCTTTGATCTGGACTGTGTTATGTGCCATCTCACCAGCCAGCCCTGGCCCTTCACTACATGTCAGGATGGAGGGGCCTCGCTGATAAATGCATTTATTCTGACTTAGGTCTGACTCCCTTCTGAGCAGCGCAGCAGGGCAAAGTGTAACCAGGAGAAAGATTGCTTTCGTAAGTTTTGTTTAGGAACATGCTATTCGAGGATGATCCTGCCCTCGAGCTCCAGCACTGTTTCCTATCAAGAGAGAGATGAAGTCCAGCCTGCTCTGCGTTGTTTCCACAACTCAGGAGCCTGACCCCACTTTGCAGCCCAATGCAGGCTGCCCAATGGTGCAAGACTGTATGCAGGCCATGGCCACCCACCAGGTAGGTTGACAGGGAGCTGCTGCTGGGGACCCACTCAAACACTATCCAGCCCCTGCTGCCGGAGGCTGACTGCAGGCCACTCAGCTGGTCTCATCTCTGGGCACTCACATGACAGCAGCAGAATGTGAACTATGCAGACAGTGAATCAGGCCCAGATTATTCCCAGAAACATAGTATCCCAAAGACAGGGAATCGGGTTGTTCACTGAATCACCCAGGTACTTCTGGTTTCACATGTGTGCATTCCAAATAGAACCAAAGAGCAGGAGCAAAAACAAGATCACAAAAGCAACATGTAATCAATCTAAAAAGGCTTAAATGTTTCTTTCTTGAGTTGCCTCAATTTGATGAGTGCCCACATCCCTCCCTAAGGTTCTCCCTAACCCTAGGCAGGAACCTGGGCAGGACAAAAGCTTGAACCAACAACTGCACATCTGCCATAGACCAGATGCTGCCCACCATGACCAAGTTCATCATTTTCCCTCAAATCCACCTTACACAGTGGATGCAGTGATTGCCCTAATGAAACTGGAAGGTGAGTAACCAATAATAAGGAAGGCCAGGCTCCCAGCTCTGATCTGCAGGAAGCAAAAACCTTACCTCTTGTCTAACACTCTGGACATGAAGTGTAGCTAGATGACCCTAAAACAGCTCCACCAAGGTGCCTGGGAAAACCGTGAAACAAGCCAGGCCAGGCAGAGGTCAGCACACGTGCAAGCCCAAAGTGGCTTCCAAGAAAGGCAGACATCCACGTAATAACCCTGCAGTCCCTCCCTGACCCCCAGGCCTGTCTCAGCCACAAAAGCCCCATTCCAGGCCACCTGGGACACACAGAACTGATGTCCATGCGGGCGCAGCAGAAGGACCCACCAGCTTATTGGAGATCCTGGCTCCTGGGATAGAGCTATTGGCAGCCTGTAGAGGGCACGCACTTCCCATCGGAGGCAGGGAGCAAGAACCAGCCACTGTCGGGGTCACAGAAGACGCTGTAAGACCCGGCCGTATAGACACAGGACCAAAGTGCTTGCAGGGAAGCTGCCGCAAGGATTGGCAGGTGCAACTCTCGCTCACTGTCCCCTGAGTTTGGGAATGAAGGTCTTGCATCTGTGACCATACATCCTGGCAGCTTTGAATCATAGGTTGAGATGCTTTGGTTTCTGAGAAAGGGGTGAGAGAGAAGAAAAGCCTCAAGGGACCATTTTTACGCACAGCCTGGCCTCTGGAAGAATTCTCTGCAGGTTAGTTCTTCTGACTGAATTGTGGGATCAGGGACCAGAAAAGAGGAGAGGAGGAGACAAAAGCA